GGAAGATTACAGAAGGTAGAGAGATTTCCTGTGATAGAAACAACATAGTAAAAATGGCTATACTACCAAAAGCAATGTACATGGTGAATGCAATTCCCATCAAAATCCCAGTGACATTCAACACAGAGATTGAAAAATCTACCCTAAAGTTCACTTGGAAACACAAGAGACTGTGAATAGCCAAGGCAATACTCAGCAAAAACAGCAATGCTGGAGGTATCCTAATACCCGACTTCAAACTATATTAGAAAGCAGTAGCAATAAAAACATCATGGTACTGGCACAAAAACAGACATGAAGACCAGTGAAACAGAATAGAGGACCCAGATATGAATCCACACAGCTATGCCCACCCTCTTTTTTGACAAAGGTGCCAAAGACATACAATGGAGAAAAGACAGCCTCTTCAACAAATGTTGCTGGGAAAAGTGGCTATCTGCAAAAAACTGAAACTAGATCCATGTCTATTACCCTGTACTAGTATCAACTCAAAATGGATCAAGAACCTTAATATCAGACCTGAAACTGTGAATTTAGTACAGGAAAGAGCAGGAAATACTCTGGAAGTAATAAGTATAGGAAAGGACTTCCTCAACAGAACCCACCAGCTCAGCAATTAAGAGAAAGTATGGACAAATGGGACTTCATAAAATTAAAAAGCTTCTGTACATCCAAAGAAATGATCTCTAAACTGAAGAGTGGGAGAAAATATTTGCCAGCTGTACATCAGACAAAGGACTGATAAGCAGAATATACAGATTAACTAAACTCTCCCAAAATCAATGAACCAATAAAGAAATGGGCAACTGAACTAAACATAACTTTCCCAAAAATAAGAAATTCAAATGGCAAAAAGACACATGAAAAAATGCTTACCTTCTCTGCCCATAAAGGAAATGCAAATCAAAACAACACTAAGATTCCATCTCACCCCTGTTAGAATAGCCATTATCAAAAAACCACCAACAACAGGTGTTGGAGAGTATGTGGGGAAAAAGGAACCCTTATACATTACTGGTGGGAATGCAAGCTAGCGCAACTACTGTGGAAGAAAATATGGAGGCTTCTTAAAAATCTAAACATAGATCTGCCATATGATCCAGCAATCCCACTCCTGGGTATATACGCAAAGGAATGCAACACAGGTTACTCTAAAGGCACCTGATTTATTGCAGCACTATTCAAAATAGCCAAGTTATGGAAACAGCCAAGATGCCCCACTACAGACGAATGGTTTAAGAAAATGTGGTACTTCCACACAATGTAGTTTTACTAAGCCATGAGGAAGAATGAAATCTTATTATTTTCAAGTAAATGGATGGAACTGGAGAACATCATTCTGAGCGAGGTTAGCCAGGCTCAGAAGACCAAAAATCGTATGCAGACTTTAGATCTAGGGCAAATACAGCAATGTTGCTGGATTTGGGTCACATGCTAAGGGGAGAGCACATACGGGAGTTATGGGGATAGGTAGGAAACCCAAAACATGAAAGTGGTGATGTCCCCATTGCAGAGGAACGAATACAGAAACCTTAAAGTGACAGAGGTCAATATGGGAAGAGGATCAGGAACTAGTGAAAAGGTCAGGTAGAGATGAAGCAACTTGGGTTGTAACACATTTGTGCATAGAAGCAATGCTAGGAATCTCTGTGTATGGCCATCCTTATCTCAACTAGCAAAAACGCTGTGTCTTTCTTATATTATTGCTTATGTCTTCTCTTCAACGAAAGTAGAGATAAGGGCAGAACAGGTTTTTCCTGGAAGTGAGGGACGGTGGAAGGGGCAGGGGAGAGAAATGTCCCAAGCAATATATGCACGTGTAAACAAATGAATAAAAAGTTTTAATAAGAAAGAAAGTGTTCAGAGTTAAGAAATGAAAATTTCAGCATTGGAGAGATATTTACACAAAATATTGTATTATTTTAGATTATATTACATAGCATATGTTATGGATGGTTTTCTAATACTGTCTATCAAACATGCTATACATATTATACAGTAGCCAACTTAAATTATATGAATCTTATGACTGAATTTTGCTCAATCTGGAATCCATTACTGAATCTATTGTCATAGTGGTTAGCTATCTAGGGTTAGATGAATTAGTAAATTCAAGAGAAAGCTAAAGATCAACCACATCTATTGGGACTTTCCTAACAACAAAATAAGACAAAACAAATAGAATTGCAGAATGATTTGTACTCTAGTAAGTAAAAAAGTCAGGTAGTCCACAATCACATTTGAAATCAACCTAATGCATTAGAATGTCCAACTATGTTCTCTCCTAATGCTGAATAAAAAAAAAACATGCAAATGAAGGAAATTACTCAGATGTATAGCAGATGTGTTCTAGTTAATTCTACTTCAGGAAAAAGATCTAGAATTGTTGACAGGTAGGTGGAGAAGAGATTCAGACCAAAAATAAGGTCATGAAAAGGAAAAATCTAACTCTATTTAAAAATGTTAACTTATTTCTATGAAGTCAAGAAAGATTCCTGGTGATGCTTCTCCTAGTGACTTGTGAGTGCAGAAATACATACATCTACACCATTTTACCTACTGTTTTCATAAGCTTACAGCCTGGAAGGAAAACACCAGAAATACCAGTAGCACAATTCTGAAACAGTTGGAAATCTTTTCTCCTGATAGCTATTTAGATGGCTAGGTTTAAACCAATTTAGGAATACTATTAACGGATTATTCTCCCTCCCTTTCACTATATGACAAGGGACAGTAAATGCCCACAGTGAGGGGAAAAACAGTGTTAGCAAGGAGTTACTCAATAATTTCTTGTCAACTGCATTTCTTTTGTCTTTCCCCTTTTGCATTTAGCCTTGCTTTTATAGAGAAACTTAAGACTAATTCATTCACTCGTAATTATGAAACAATTAACAAATGTGTACAATGTTTTTTGTATGTTGTGGGACATTATAGAAGAGTCTTAGGGAGAACTACATAATAGGTGAAGGTAATTTTTAAATCTTTAATTCTTGGTAACTATAGACTGTTCACATTTATAACCCAAATTAAACCAGATTAGAGAGCTGGATTGCGTACATGCACAAAAGTGCATATATGTATGTACATGCAACAGTGGGTAGGAGGGAAAGAGTAAGGAAGAGTAATAGAGGGAGTTGAAATTACCAAAGTACAGTATACTCACAACTCAGATACATTGAGAAACCTCTTTGAAACTGACTTTGAAGTTAAAAATGAAGGACATGTCTGTAAAACAGGTCCTGGGGGGTCCAGTGGGTACTTATGGGAGGAGGGGGAGTGTGAATGGAGCAAACGAAGGAGGGTGAATATGGTCAGTGTGCCTTGTATACATGTATGCATGTATGAAACAGAACCATGGAACCTCTTGCAATTGTTTTAGGTGGGGCAGAGAGAGGAATGAGAGGGAGAAATGGTGGGGGTGAACGTAACAAATGTTCATTGGTAGGCTATTCAAAATTGTCACAATGAACCCCCCCTGCAGAATAAAAATTTTTAAAAAATTGTTCAATATTTTTGCACTGAGCTTGTCCTCAAAATTAGTTCACTAATTAGTTCACTTATTAGTTATAGATAAGATAGATAAGAAACAAGTGTGATGAAATATTGGAGATAGTAAAAATTTTACCATAATCTATTATACTAGTGTTTTGCTTATCTGTGTTTATTTGATAAATGCTGTCAAAACATTAGGCATGAAGACAAGGTATAAAGAGGCAGTATAGGGAAGTGACAGACCATGGATCTGACATCAGATGACCTGGCCTCATCTCTTGGCTCTTCTATGAATCAAACTAGTTGCCTAAAATTTCGGAGCTTCAGTTTCCTCGTTAATAAAATGTAGACTACATTATGAAGTTGTAAGTTTTATGTAAGCAACTAAAGCCCATCTGGTAGAGAGGACCAGATCTATTACTGAGTATATCTTGCAGTCTCATGGAAGACATGGTAATAACAGGTAATGAATAACTAACTGAGGATAAGACTTGTAGAAAATGCCCTAGATTCCAAATAGAACACAATTCCAATAGTAATGTTCTACTTATTTGTCCCATCGGAGGCATTTATAATGATTATCTATCCCTATGGCACAGAGAGAAACGCAGGACTGCTTATTTTCTTACTGTATTTAAAAAGAACCACATGCCAAACTGCTGCTGTTTTGCTCTGTATTACTTGGTATGCCAAACCCACTGAAACAGACTATTATAAAGATTCTCTATTATGCAATCAATGACAGATATATATTTATAATACATATTTGATAAACATTGGGGAAATAAAAGTTTATCTGCTAACTTTATATTCAAACTTCTCTTGAAATAGAATTTTACAACTAACAAAATACAAACTTATTTTTCTAACTTTATAAAAAATGACACAAATATGGAAACCATTAGGCATGACTGAAAAAATGGACAGCCACTGTTAAATTATAACTTTCAGGAAATCTAGCTTATATTGGCATTAAGATTTTATTTTTACAGCTTTTTCTACTTTATTCAAAATGAATAACATTAATTTTAAAAATTATATTTTTGAGAAATTAATGTACATGTAAATATCTGAAAATAAACATTTGTTTATTAATTTAGAAAATAGATATTCCTTTAAAACAAAATTCCCTTAGAAGTAACTAAGTTTATCTGGATGGATACAGGAGCACTTAAAAATATCTACAACGATAAAAAAAAACCTCAATAAAACTTCTAAAAGATAAAGCAATGTGGTATATTCAGGATAAAACTGGTAAAACAAAGTATACTTCTGCTGGATGAAGGTAGATGAATGTTCCAGTTTTGCTTTACCAACATTATTTAGAGAGTATTCAGAAAAGCTTAGGAAATTTCAGATATTTTGTTTTCTTAGAATTAAGTTTCTTGGGGGCCGATGGAGAGTCAGCATTGTATTCTCTGGATATTACAGTCTAAATCTTCAGGAGTCAGCTTCTATTAATATAATTACCAAAAAAAAGTCACAATAGAAGAAAGCAACACACTCACCACCTCCACTGATTATGTCAGGTTTGGCTTTCATCATTTTGCAAAACTGTCTTCGGCAGTTTTCTATCCACTCAGTTTGTTTATCAGACATTTTGAAGCAAAATAACAGTTTGCCAAGATCACTGTCTAATAAAAAAGATAAGAAGATAATGTATTATATTACTGTAATAGGGTATACTAGATATACTGAAACATAGGTATTCATTTTAAATATGACATTTACAAATTCCAGAAAAAATATTACATGTGGCATTCAAAGGAAAACATTTTTCTGTAATACCTTACACATATTGAATTGTTTACTAAAATCAATTAATTATTGACTTATTAATAACTCATATGACAGACTGTTAGTTTGTAACAAAGTCTTGACTAGAATAAACTGTGTCTTATATCCACACAGTTTATTATGGAGTATCTAGTTTAACTGACAGTGTGAACCTTAAGATTTCATTACACATACTGACAGACACATTACATTCATTCTTCAGGCACATTCACATGTCATTTTAGTCATGCCTTTAAAAGCAAAAAGAACGCATAAGTATATGAAAGCTCTAGTCAATCATTTAGTTCCTCCCTTAAAAAAATTATACTGGCACAATGGCTACTTAAGTATATAATTTTTATGTTTCTATGTATCAGCTAACTAAATGTAATTTAAATAATAACTATGTATTGGAGCTCCTTGTATGTTGCTATAGTCAAGGCCACATTACTGCCAACATGAAGCTTTTAGGTCATTTGATGTATACATATATGTGTGTACACGGAGTAGTGTCCCTCCCCCATCCATGGGAGACACATTCCAAGTCTCCCAATAGTTAGCTGAAACCACAAATAGTACTAAACCTTATGCACACATTATGATGAGGTTTAATTTGCAGTTGGAAGAGGTGGTGCATGCCTCGAATCTCATTACTTGAGAGGCTGAGGCAGGAGGATCTCAAGTTTGAGACCAACTTGGAGTACACAATGAATTACAGACTAGCCAAGGCTATATAGCAAGACCATGTTTAAAAAAAATTCAAACTTATAAATTAGGTACAGTAAGAAATTAACACCAATAACTAATAATAAAATAAGATAATTATAATGTCCTATGGTAAAATGCCAGCATCATGCCTCTTGTACTTTGGAACCATTAGTAAATAAAAATTGTATGAACACAAATACAAATTTTTTGTATTGCCCTGTTTCATTTCTGAAATGGAATCTATAGAGAGCATAACAAGGCTAGTTGCATATTTTTAATCCAACATATCATTTATAAGAAGTAACTAGAAAGTGACTTGTAATGTAATGTTTGGATTCATAACAGTATAAAATATAGCTGGATTCCATGTAGACTCATTGAGATGGTGGCAGCACCAATACAGTCTGATCTTATTTTAGTACCTAGATACTACATACAAGCAGTGCTATCACTGGCACAGAAACTCAAAAAAAGCCATTTTATAGCAAAGCTATACTCATACTCTCTCATAAATATATATATATATATATATTTTTTTTTACATATATACCAAACACTTGCATACTAAAAAATAGAGCCAACACTTGTATTGTTGAAAGGATATGTATTTCTGGTATTCATATTAGCCTAATATATTCCCTTTAAATATCAAGATTACAACAATATAGAAACATTTTACAGGTAGCCTCAATAATGAAAGCATGGTTAAACAAAAATTATCAAAGAAATTAAATTTAAAAAAGAATTCCTTTTAATAAGAGTGCTAAAATTCTTTGATCTAAACAATCAAGGTAGTCATATTTCAGTGAAAATTGTATTATTGCTAACAAAAATGTTTTAATGTCAAACATATCTTGATATAAATCAGCTGAAGACTAACAGCATGACAGCTGAATTTTTACTGTCTTCATTTAGAATAGCTACATTACTTTTTACCTAAGAGCAATCTACCATGAGTCAAATAAACATCAATAGTAAGGTATAATTGCAAAAACAAATGCAAGTATGTTTCTGTTTCCTTCTCTATTTTTTGTCTTCTATTCATGTATAACCCTATCTTTTACCTTTGAAAGGGTGTTACCACCTCTTTCAAAGAGGGAATGTCCATATAGCTCTTTCATAATAATTTATGGGTTTATATATAAATCAGTTATCTTTTTCTTCCTCCCTCCTCTCTGCTCTCTCTTCCTCCTTTCACATTTGCTATTCTATTGTGCTTTCTCATCATCCCATTCTATGGAAAAGAATATACAGCACTGAAGCAGCAAGTGTAGTGTGCTCTTCAATCTGTCAGTCAACTGAGGAGCTAAAGTGCATAGGTAAGATTTCTAGAAACTGGATTTAAGCCAATACAGAAACTGCTCTAAGAGACTGAAAGACTCATAGAGACACAGTTTTGTATTCTGTACAATACTTCTGGCTAATAATTCCCCCAGCCCTTATTGAGAATATATGCTTTTCAACTTATATTCCTCACAGTTAAAATATTTAGTGATTTCATGTTAACTTAAAAAATATGCATATTTGTGATATACTAGTTTTGAAAGGAACAATAATTCCTTTATTTCTTCTTACAAATTTAGGACCTAGAGTACAACATACAGAAACATGTAAGTCAGGCACCTATGCTTAGACCTGCTACCACATGAGCTTCCCAACATCTTTGCTGAACTGATTAAATCCATTCAGGCTCAAAGGCAGGCAACCAAAGTCCACGTCTGATGGCTTTTATTAGAAAAGACTAATAAATACAAGCTAACTTGAAATATAGTCTACAGAAAGGTTAAGCCAAGACTTCCCATTTTTTTTCTCCAAAATTCACCTATCAACAACTCCTCCTAGCTTTGTGCAAATTGAATGGAGTTGTCTAGAAAGAGGCCAATCGTGTTATCCTAGCAAAGTTTCTTTATACAGTGGTATGAAACAAAAGGAAATGGAAGATCCTTCATGGTATATTTCATAGTTATATGACAACTCTAAACTAGTGACTATTTCATAGGAATACATATAAATGCACAGAATTTCCAAAATTTCTACATGAAGCCTTCCAACTTTTATAGTTAGGGAAAAAAGAACATTACAAAAACAAAATTTTATTTGTCCATGATGGAAAAACTGGAGATATACTTGTCTTCTATGTGAATGACTGACAATACATTAAATAACTATTTTCACACACTAACCAAGAGACAGTGAAGGACAGAGAAGTCTGAGAAAAGGGGAAAAGGAAACCAATAATGTCAACCCTACAACTGTCCATTTTCCTCTTAGAGGCACTTTCAAATTCACCATGAACGAAGGGGAATACCAAAAGGTCTTGTTGAATTGAGGGGATAGATATCAAATTATAGAGAGACTGGAGATGTAAAAATTTAGGGTACTGGAGAGGAAGAACAAAGAATTCCAAAAAAATCTGTGCATTTTATCAAGTCAGTTGCCGAACAAGGTCCTGTGCAGGTGAAGGATGAAACTCCACAAAGCTGTGTCAAAAATAGCTGGGAGGTGTAACATACACAAACAATCCCCAGAGGATACAGAAGGCAAGGAGATATTTAAGTTCCAGACTGAAGAGTGCCAGTTAACTACCAGATGTTCCATAGTGACATTAGAAAGCTCACAGCCTAGTAATAGTGAAAACAGAAAATCTACTTTCAAATCTATTGTCACTACCATTGAAAAAAAATTTTAAAAACCAAGTTTCCCACTTATGAAATTTATCAGTGATAGCTGATAATATGTCATATCTAAACTTTGAAAATTTTTCCTGTGGTGAGCACCATAATCATTTCATATTTGGAGATAGTATATAATTTGCTCCTCAAAAGATTATCATATAGAATAAATGATTATATTGATTATTTAAGAGTATTGTATGCAATGGAAAAATAGGTAATATAAATAGAACTTTAATCTCAAAAACAAGAAAATCATAACCTCAATATAAATACAAAGAAAATCTGCTATTCAAAGAGAAAGCTGTGTCCTTCCTAGGACTTCAGTAATTTTGAATGTCCATCTGATAGAGAAAAGCCTAGCAGATGTTGTACAATAAACAAAAATAAATAGCAGTCTTCAAAAAGTAATTAGCAAGAGATTTCCAGGCTTAATTTAGACCGTCAATCTTCTAACATACTGAAGTTTATCTGTAGAACATGTAATTTCTACCTCTGTTCTTCCATTTAGGTTACAGTAGTCATCATTTTACTTTCCCCTTCCACGCAAAGGAAGACTGTGTAGTCTCTAAGAAAGAGGAAGACAGAGAATTGGCATAGGGAACAGAGATAGACACCTTCCAATCTGAATGTGAGAGCATCTAAATTCCTCCAAGTTTGTTTAGACATTTGAGTTCTTATTACAGTTTATATAGATTAGTCCTCCAACTGGATTTTACCACACCATGTTTGATTTCCTTTAATATTTGATAACTAAGCATCTACTGTAGATGAAATTCATGAACTTTTTAAAAATGTGGAATTTTTTCTCTTTTCATTCCACTGCACCTAAACTAACAGATGATCTCCTTATCCTGGTTGCTACAGTTATGTTGCTTCAAATTTGAAAGTAAACATATGTAAAAATAAATTTTAAGATTCAAAAGAAAATACTTAGCCTAATTTTTAAAGTAGGTTTCAAACAGCTGCAACTCAAAATTTGTTACAAAGGAGAAAAACTGCAATCTCAGTCATTATACCAGTGTCCTCAGTTAACAGGTTGATGTCAAATAAGTCAGTTACTTTTATCTTTAGAAAATAATTCTTAATTCCAAGGTTAAAAACAATAAAGAATTAAAAGAGAAGGAGATGGCTTGACATAAAGGAAGGTCTAGATAAATATTTGATAAAAGGGAGAATTCATCACTAAGAATACTTCTAGACTGTATGCGTAAGATAAGATGTAGAAGACTTTTAAAATCAGAACAAATAATTTCCGTCATCATGTTATATTTTATACAGTATGTTATTTTATTTTTTGATTGATTGGGTGAGATGTGATAATTTAAATTTTATATAATTTATCAGACTGGCAACAAGGGCAATCCAGTCACTTGTTAAATGGGAAACTTCCATTGTTTTACTAAAATATAGTTGCAAATCTGGGCATGGTGGTACACATCTGTAATCTCAGTACTTGGGAGACTGAGGCAAGGAGT